ATTAATCATGTTTTATATTCCCTGTCTGGTAGTTCCAAAATTTATGTCATACATGGATCTGGCTCTAATTATTGCCTTGTTTCTTTGGGTTGTGTTTTTATTACTGTCTTTGCCATGCTTCATAATGTTTTTTTTTTTAAAGCTGAATGTGCTGTATATAACAGGAGAGACTGAGGTATATATTTAATATGCTTATAGAAGACTGCTAGTTTCCTGTTAGTCCTTTAGGGTGGAGACTTGTGTTAATCTCTTCAAGCATTGGGCTGTGTTTGATGTTTATTATTGCTATGGTTACTGGAGTTGACATTTGTTGTTGCCATGGAAACCAGAAGCTTAAAAATTTTCCTAGTAATACCTTGTTCTTGTCTTCCTGCTTGGCTCTGGGTTTTCCTTTTGTGCTGTTTCTCTGTGAGAGTCTGAGTCTTGCAGCTCTCTGAGATGTGTTCAGTTTTACTCAAAGCCTTTCAGTAAGGTAGTGGAGGGTGAGGGGAGTTCTGTGATGTTCTGGTTAAGCTTCAGATTTATGCAGATACTAAAACCTGCGTCTTTAGAGTGTGTCCTTCACAAGACTCTTCCCTTCTTTTTCCCAACTGCAATGGGTATTCAGTAGTATCCTCAAGCTAAGGTTTTTTTCAGCTCTTTCCCCCTGCATTAAGGCTATTGCTGTTTTGGAGAAACAATGAAGATGAATATGGGTGAAAATTGAGTGTCGGCCTCCCTTCCTTCCTCCAGCTGTAGTGGGATTCCACCAGAAATTTCTCCTTGCTGATTAAGCCTTTTGTTCCACAGGGAGATAAGTGAAATAGGCTGGTTTGACATTGTTGCTTGCTCTTTCCTCCTTAGCTCCGCAGGAGTGGAGATGGAGGAGCTTTCTCTGCTTTCTGCATGCTTCCCCCTGCATTAGAGAACCTTTTGAGGTTCCTGGAGAAAAAGCTCACGGGAGGATGGGAACTCTCCTATGATTGCAGCCCTCGAGGACTTCACATTCTGATTCTTACCTATATTCAGTTTTCAGCAGTTTGTCAGAATTCCTGGTTAATCTTCGTATCAGCAATGGGATTCTTCAATGTTCTTGAGACTATGTTTCCTTTCATCAGAGAGAAGGCTTTTAGGTGCCTGCCTAGCCTTAGCTGTTGCTCCATCACTGCTGCATTGCCTAGAGGCTGGGGACAGTGGTAAACAGAAAAAAGAAAAGGAGGAAAAAGTGATATTCCCCCTAAGTCTCTTTGAACCTCAGAAATCCACATTCTTGTCAGAGAATATACTGCGTATCATTTCAGTTTTTTTTTTTTTTTTTTTTTTAATTTGTGAGACTTGCCTTAGGGCTCAATATATGGTCAATTTTTGTAAATGATCTCTTTCTGCTTGAAAGAGTATTTTGCAGTTATTGGGTGCTATGTCATATTAATGTCCATTTAGGTACACTTTATTCATGCTATTCAAATCTATATTTCTACCCTCTCCGCCCCACCCCCCGCTTTTTTTGAGTTATTCTATCACCTACTGAAAGGAATACAAAATTCATCTATTATGATTATGGATTTTTTCCCATTTCTTTGTAATTTTGCAAAGTTATGCTTTATATATTTGGAGGCTATGTTATTGCATGTGTACAAATTTAAAATTGTTGTATCTTCCTGATAAATTATGCCTTTATAGGTATTAATGCTTTTGTGTATTGAAGTCTACTTTGAATACAATTATTATAGCTAGAAAAACTGTCTTTTAGTTTGTTAGTATGACTTTTTCTCATACTTTATTTTCTGTAAATTTTAAGTGTGATTCTTGTAAACACAATTATTAATTTTTTAAAAATAATTTTTGTCTTCTGGTCCAATTACATTTAACGTAATACTGAGTTATTTGAACTTACATTTAAAATCTTACATTTTGCTTTTTATATATTTTATTCTATATTCTTGTTTTCTCTTGTTTTTTGGATTTGAGTATTTTAATTCTTTCTCCTTTCTATTTAGTGTGTTTGTTCTCCCTCCGTAGTAACATTAGTTATCAGTTACCTGTCCACCATTCCAGAATGAAAGAGTCTGTGCATATACAGTATATACTTCCTCCTTCAGAAGTAGTAGTATAATATATACATGGTTCTGCACTTTGCATTTTTAAAATAAATACATTTTTAAAAAACATTGCAGATTGCTTCCTGCTTTTATGCTTGTTTGGACAGTACAAGAACCTTGGAATCCTGTGATTCCAAGTATATGCTCTGATTGTATATTTTTATTCTTTATACATTTGAAACCTCACCATACATTATTATTGCTTTAGTAATTCAGTGTTGTTTGATATATCTCTCTTTCTGGATTCTAAAACAGTATCTGTCTCCTTGGTGATGGGTTGCTCAGTGGGGCTGGTTTGGCTAGATAATTATTTAGGAAAAACTAAGCATACGCTAACAGATGAAAAGAGCCTCTGTCATTTAAAAAAAAAAAAGAACTACAAGAAAGAATGAGAGAAACCATGCCTGATTTTTTTTTAAATTGTGTTTTAAAAGGAAGAACTTACTGACAGCATGAAAACACAGCTGTGAATAGGAAACAGTGGTCGTAATAAGACCTTAGGAAAAAGGATTTCAAGAGGATCAAAAGAAAGAGAAGCTTTCTTGGTTAGTTAAAATGTTTCTATTTTATTGTGGCATAAATGAGGTGCAAGAGAAGGGAAAACTAAAATTTCACAATTTTAACATCTTGGGCCAGAGTGGTGAGGGAGTAGAGAAATATTTAATAAAACAAACAAAAACAGCAATATGATCAACTGAGCTCTTAGACCAGGGTGGTAAGAGAGTAGAGAAATATTTAAGAAAGTCTAAAGGAATAAGGGACATCTTACCAAGGCTGGATGCAAGGAAATAGCTATCATACAGTCTAGAGGGAGCCTATAGGATTTGCTGAAAGGCAAAAAATTTCTTTGGGGCCAATTGGAGTATGCTTGACATTTTATTATTGTTGAAATAAGATGCAGGAGGATGAATTGGATGATTGTACTCTTAAGTAATATATTTCCAGCTGAGAGCTATAAATACTGGTTTTATCAGATGCTTTTTTAGCATCTATCACAATGGTATGAGGAATTTCTTTTGACACTTCAGTACTTTGTGTGCTCATTTCTTTCCATTTACTTTAAGACCCATTCCCAGCCATACCTATGGGCTCAGCTCTTCCTAGTCATCTTTTTCTAAATTATCCCAAGTTCCTTACTTAATTTCTCTGATTATCATTTTTCCCTCTTCTCGTGCATCTTACATGATTATTAGACCTCAAACATCTCTTATATCCTGGAAATCTTATAGTGGCTCTTTATTGTCTGTTATATCAAGTCAAAATTTTAGTCACTGTACCTGTTTAGGCCTTAGGTTTTTCAGTTGTAAATTAATTGGTTTCAGCAACCCCCTTATCTTGTGGGTTGTTGTGAGGATTAGAGATACTGTTCACCTCAGTGCAGTTTAATGCAGTCTAATATAAATACTCAGTAATTATTCCAACATTTGAAGCCCTCTTTAACTTCCCAGCATTACCCATTGAATCTCATTTCCCTTATTCAGAAATTTGTACCCACCAGTATGGTCCATCTGACCTTTTTATTGGCCCCCAAACATACTTGTGTTTACTGCCTACTGGCTAAAGGTATAGGCCCACATCTTTCTGCTTATTCATCCATCTTCTCATTTTTCAGAGCTCAGTAAAAGCCTCTTATTTTTTCATTAAGCTTTCCTAAACAAATCTAATTCTAACTGATCTTCCTGACTTCTAATGGTAATTGTAGTCTTTCTTACACACTTCAGCACTTGTGTAGTTTTGTGCTGTTTTGTCTGTTTCATGTATGGACATCTTTTCTGTCGTAGATTGTGAATTCCTTGAGGACAGAATCATATGCTTTATTTGGTCTGTATAATGTACATAGCAGATGTCTCAAAAATACTTGTCTAATTAAATTGTTTCTCTGGTAGTACCTGTCAGAGGCAAGTTTTCCAGAAAAAAATAATTTTGGTGCATCCCAATTCTCAGTTATACATTGTGGCTCTGGTTTGTAATTAAAAAAAAAAATTAATGAATACTGAAGGTTAGCCAAAAAATAAAAAATACTAAAAACATTTTTTTGGTAGCAACATGGGGTCTTGCTATGTTGCCCAAGCTAGGCTTTGAACTCTTGGCCTCAAATGACTCTTCTTGCCTTCACCTCCCAAAGTGCTGGGATTACAGATGTGAGTCATTCTGCTTTGCCAAGATATGTTTGTTGTTGTTGTTTTAAAATTGAGACAGGGTCTAGCTTTGCTCCCAGGCCAGAGGGCAGTGGTGCAACTATGGCTTACTGTAACCTCCAGCTCCTGGGTTCAAGACATCCTCTTGCCTCAACCTCTGAAGTAGCTGGGACTACAGGGGTGCACTACCGTGTCTGGCTAATCTTTAAAAATTGTTTTAGAGATAGGGTGTCACTGTTGCCCAGGCTGATCTCGAATTCCTGGGCTCAGATGATCTTCTTGCCTTGGAGTGCTGGGACTACAGGCATGAGCCATCATGCCTGGCCTAAGATAGGATTTTTAGAATTGCCTTTGAATAGAGAATGGCAGATACAGAATAGGAAACTACTTGAAAAAAATCTGCTTATAAAATTGTGGTGTTTTGATGTACCTGTTTTATATTTCATGTTACTTTAAGATTAAAATTAATGGAATGTCCATTCCTTATTCAGTATGATAGTGTTAAAATATTTATTGCTTCTTAAGATATTTGCCACTTTATCTTTAAGTGCTAAGTTAATATTTTTCCACTATACCTTCTTTCTTGATTATAATTATTCTTGATTATACTTTCAAAAAAATAGAAAATACTAAAAAGTATGAGAAAAAACATCTGCCAGTGAAAGAGGAGACTATTAACATTTTGTTGGATATGCTTGTAGTTGTTTTCTGCGTACCTGTAAAAGATAAGTTGCCCCATCTAAGTTTCTCATTTTGTAATTAATTACTAATGTTTGCTTTTCAGCTTTTCCTAAAAGAATTGTACACCTTACAAGTGCTTAAAGAAGAGTAATGAAGGCAAGTATCCAACTCTTTATAGTCAATGAAATTTAACTTGGTTTATGTGCTTTGGTCACCATATTTATCAAAAAACTAAAAAATTGCAAAGAAAAACTTAAGGGAAAAAAAGACAAAGACAATTTGTATATAGTTTGCTATGACTTTTAGGTAGAGTACCCTGCTAAATGGTTGATGGATTTTAGAAACATAATTTTTCTTACTTATCTCTGATACTAATTCAAAACAACTTGTTTTCTGGCTGTGAAGTATATTAAGTCTTCAGCAAAGCTGTGCTGGAAAAAATAATTGTTGAAAATTCTAAGAACTTAACAAAATTATTTGAAACACCTGGCCAGTAGATGGCTGCCTTCTTTGTCCCCTTTTCTCACCTTTTGCTCCTTCTGCCTCTCACATTTCTCTCCTTCGACCCCCGCCCCCCTTTTTTTCCTATGTCCTTTTGCTCCTTTTTATCTTCCTCTCTCTGGATTACTTATATAATTACTTTTCAGAGAAGCTGAGTGAATAAAAGAGAGGCCAACATTTCCTTCTTAACAAAAAAGCATTTGATAGGCTTTGCAGTCAAACTTGTTTATGTTAAACCAGGGATCTAAAATTAGTTAATTGGGCCAGGTATGGTATCTCATGCCTGTAATCCTAGCACTTCGAGAGGCTGAGGAGGGAGTTCAAGACCAGCCTGGCCAACATGGTGAAACCTCATCTCTATGAAAAATACAAAAATTAGCCAGGCATGGTGACGGACGCCTGTAATCCCAGCTACTTGAGAGGCAGAGGCAGGAGAATTGCTTGAACCCAGGAGGCAGAGGTTGCAGTGAGATGCATTCCAGCCTGGGTGGCAGAGTGAGACCCTGTCTCTAAATAAGTAAATAAATAAATGAAAATTAGTTATTTGGGGAATTTTATAAACTGACCCAACAGTTATTCATTTGAGCTTCTGTAAGACATACAGAAGAAAAGGATGTTCCTATACAACTTTGAGATTATTGAATTCCTTTTGTGTTTGCATTCTTACTGTTAGCAACTGTATAGAGTTAATTATTGCAGTATCACTATTGATGGCATTTTTGCCACAGCATTTGACCTTAGTGGCTTTAAAGATTTTCTATTGGCCAACAGAAAATTTTAGCAGCCTTCAAAACCTTGACCAGTTTTTTAGTGCTGCTATTACGCAGATGATAGCTGCAAGCGTAAGTACCACATTACATTTTATTGGTTCAGTAGATTGTTTTTCAGAATTCTTATCTTAAAACTTGATGGTTAGAGCTCAATTTAGGTTTATTTAGGGCTGCATGCCAGGTGAGGCTGTGTGCTGGTATGATTAAGGTAAGTTTTGCCTTTGAAAAATCCCAGAATTTATTAACTCTTTTCTTGCTTATAGCTGTGAAGACAGTCTTGGCATGAAAATTAACACCTTAGTTTCAGTTTTTTCCTGGCAATGCTAACATTTCCTTATAATCATCATTTAAAATTATTTGAAAATAAATGATTTGGCCTGGTGTGGTGGCTCATGCCTGTAATCCCAGTGCTTTGGGAGGCTGAGGCAGGTATCACTCGAGGTCAGGAGTTCGAGATCAGCCTGGCCAATATGGTGAAACCCCATCTCTACTAAAATTACAAAAATTAGCCGTGCATGATAGCATGTGCCTGTAATCCCAGCTACTCAGAAGGCTGAGGCAGGAGAATCACTTGAACCCAGGATGCAGAAGCTATGGTAAGCCAAGATTATGCCACTGCATTCCACCCTGGTGACACAGCGAGATTCCCATCTCAAACAAAAACAAAACAAAAAGTGAATGATATACAAATACTTGTGAAATCTCAAATGAATTTACTGACATTTAAAATGTACCACATTCTCCATTTTTTAAATAGGCAGCAACCGGATGGCCAGCTGATGAGTTTATAATAGTGCCCCAATAAGTAGATTTGCTGAGTAATAAATTCCTAGTACTTTTGCATATGAAGCAAGTAAATCTTCTGGTTTCTCAGCTAACCTTGACATCATTCCTTTATTCATGCTATCTTTTAATCTCATGGGATAAACTTATTTCACACATTTTACTTCCAACAACAACAAAAATCAGTTGTATTAGCTGATATAGTGCAAATAAAGGAAATAGTAAACTACTTTTTCACTTCTATTCTGCTGCTTTCACACCCTCCCATCTTCTCAGGATCTAAATAGCCCAGTGCAAGAAGAGATGAGTTGATACATGCTGATAGGGTCTTATTTTGGTTACATTAGCCCTTTTCCTCTGAGGAGCTCAATTCTTTACAGATTAGAAATAAAATTCAGTAACTGTTAGCCAGACAAACTGATGAGGAATGGTGAGATTATTTTTTTAAAAAATCAGAGTAACATTGTATTATATGTTTATTTCATATTTGTTTAGAAGGGAATAATTAAACATATACACTACTGGCAAAATTTTTGCCCACAAGGAGCCCCAGAAAACTGCACTAGAGGCTAACACAGTCATTGATCTAATAAGGGCAAGGGTTTCTTTCTTGGCTCTCCCAAAAAGAAAGAAATGAACAAAAGCAATGCACAATCAGGAAAAGGGTAACAGGCCACAGTGGGATGGCTGTATTTCAGTGGAGCCACAAAGAATTTGGGTGAAAGGCAATGAAACTTCCATTCTCATGGTGGTTATTCATTTGCCTAATTTAGGAGCAAACAATTTTGTGGCATTTAGAAGGAAGGTACTAGAAAGAGACAAATAAATGTCTTTAGCCCTGTCATCCTGTTTATACTCCTCAATCATGAAGAAGTTAGGCAATGGAATCATCGGCATGAAAGAATATGGACAGTGGGGCCACGGTGACAGTGCCCATATACTATTTGAAGGAAGGTCTTCTGAGAGTAGTCATCCAGAAGAAAACTTTAGTGAGTTTGCATTCCTGTTCCACTAAACTCTAGTAGCCTTGAGTTCACAGGAAACTCTTTTATCCAGCTAATGTATGGCTTTCTAGATTGCCACTTGGTGGCAGCAAGTTCAGATATTCCCAGAACAGGAGCACCGTGGTGCTTCATTGGTAATGGCTTAGATTATTGAAAGTACTTGGTAGTATAGTGAGTTTTAAAGTCCTTTAAACCAAAAGTTGAAGAAAAATATGAAAATAAAGAAACTCCTACATCATATTTTGCCTTCTCTAGCAGTTTCTGTGCATGTATATAATTTTGTTTTATATATTTGCACAAATGCAGTATAAAAATAAACACTATTAGGAAAAATCTTATCATCTCCCAACCCTCCTCCTTTTTTTTTTTTTTTTTTGCATGTGATTTTAGTAACCATGGCAGTTGTGCTGATTTTATATCTTTTAGTTTCAGCTTCCTTTTAATTTCTTGCATTTAATACTGATACATGGTTGCTATTTGACCTTTCTTTTTCTTTACTCTTCTATCATACTCAGTTACTTTCCCTTTGAGTTTGTGTGGATATATAGAAAGCTTCTGTAAGGGATGACACTATAGAGAAAGGGATTTCTTTGAATCTCCTTTCTTGATAGCTGGTACTGAGCAAAGCTCTAGTCTCTGAAGACTGATTCTGTCTGAACCATTCACTCATATGGTGCCAGAAAGATCATTTGTGCTTCAGCAGATAATTCAACTTACAGGAATTTTATTTCCATTCTCTTCTCAAAAGAGCAAATCTGTCATCTCTAGGTACCAGTGAGCTTGATGAATATGAATGGTAACAGAAATTCCTGTTTTCCATTAAAATCGTCATATACTTAGATCAGGATATCCACTTCTCACTGTTATTCTTCGACTATACTGAGTTTCAGCCTGTGGATAATTAACTTTGGTTATGAATGAGAGGGATTAAATTGCCTCAGCTAGACTAAGCGTATTTGGATGGGCTGTTCTCTTGATTTCCCAAACAATAGTTGTTCTGTCAACTACCATTATAGTGTCCATTCCAAGATGGCTCCTCTAATATCTAATTCTGTATATATTGAATCTTGTAGGGATTTTGTTTTTGAACATTGCCGTTTTCATTTCCTATGTTCTGGGCTTTTTCTCCTATTCTAAAAAATAATCATTACCCACTGTCTAGAAAACTGTCTTTTAATCTTCTGATTAAAGATTGCTTAATGATAGTGCCTATTTGTTTGGCCAGTAGCATGTTTTTCTTTGTTTTAACACTGGAGTTTCTGCATGGATTTGTAATATAAGGTTTTTTTTTGTTTTTGTTTTTGTTTTTAACATTAGATAGGCATGAAGCCTTCGTCCCACAGCTGCATGCGTAGTCACTGTTGAAGCAAATGCCTACCTAATTTGACACTCTTGGTGTGTTAAAAAAATTTTTTTTGAGTTTGCAAATAAGCATATTAAGTCTACTTATGGAGCCTTCGGGCAGTGAACAGTTATTTGAGGACCCTGATCCTGGAGGCAAATCCCAAGATGCAGAGGCCAGAAAGCAGACAGAATCAGAACAAAAATTGTCTAAAATGACCCACAATGCTTTGGAGAACATTAACGTGATTGGCCAAGGCTTGAAGCATCTCTTCCAGCACCAGCGCAGGAGGTCATCAGTGTCTCCACATGATGTGCAGCAAATTCAGGCAGATCCAGAACCTGAAATGGATCTGGAAAGCCAGAACGCATGTGCTGAGATTGATGGTGTCCCCACCCACCCCACAGCTCTGAATCGTGTCCTACAGCAGATTCGAGTGCCACCCAAGATGAAGAGAGGGACAAGCTTGCATAGTAGGCGGGGCAAGCCAGAGGCCCCAAAGGGAAGTCCCCAAATCAACAGGAAATCTGGTCAGGAGATGACAGCTGTTATGCAGTCAGGCCGACCCAGGTCTTCATCCACAACTGATGCCCCTACCAGCTCTGCTATGATGGAAATAGCTTGTGCTGCTGCTGCTGCTGCTGCTGCATGTCTACCAGGAGAAGAGGGAACTGCGGAGCGGGTAAGTTTTTCCCGTTTTCAAATGGGTAAATAATAATTATAGCTAATAAATGAATGCTTAGAATTATATTCCTGTTTCCTTCCTAACATATTGCTATATTTGTCCTTTTATTAAAACCTTAAGTATATATCATATATTCTTTCTGTATATTTAAGAAGGTCAGTTTTATGGTAGAGGAATAAAGGTGCTTTGTTATTGTTTTGATTTTGCACATGGAAATGGCTTTCTTTCATTAATGAATGTAGTGAATAAAGTTTAGAATCTGAGTTTGTCCATACTTACCATGGAAGTACACTAAGATGGTTATAATTTTTCATACTTTGTAGTACATCATCAGCATTTGTTATACATTTTGCATGCCACAATAGAGCATATACATTATTATAGTTTACTATTAATAAACAGATTGTTTTGGGTTTACCCAACTAGGTATATTAAATTTAGGAGAAACTTTTTCCATATAACTCTGTTATAGTTAGTTGAGGCACATAGAAGAAATAGCCCTGCTAGGGTTTGAAAACTCAGGTACATACATGTAGCTATGCAGGTAGTGACAGCGAGTGACTTAAGTATTATGGAGACTGGGGAAATTAAGGAGTTCCTGCTTTGTTTAACAGGAACAATGTCTTAGCTTTAGCTGTTGGTTAAAATTTAGTAGTGTGGGCACCATCTTGCCAGAGCTTCTGATTTTTTTCAAGAGAAACTGGAAATCTGGATGAGAAATTTCTTGATTTTTAACAGATATGCAAGCCATACTGAACACATTTGTGGGCTAAGTCAGCCTTGTAAATTACCATTTAACTGTCTTTTGGTATTACTTTTGTGTATTCTTTAAGGCTTTTATTTGATCATTTTCATTCTGTGTCTGCTTGTGGCACAGTGAAGTGTTGTGTTTTTTTTACTGTATATTAAGTTACCTGGAAATGTAAATATTGAGTCTAGAACCTTAAACCTTTCCTACCTAAATGTGATATTTAAAACATATAGGCAATGGACAATAAGTCACTTTAAACCTGTCAAAATAATGATTTGAATTAAAATTTTAAAAATGTAAATGAGGGAAAGTAGCATATATTTATGTGTGTAGTCTTTTTTTTTTTTTTTTTTTTTTTTTTGGAGACAGAGTTTAGTTTAGTCTGTCACCTAGGCTGGAGTGCAGTGGTGCAATCACGGCTCACTGCAGCCTTCACCTTCCAAGGCTTAGGTGATCTTCCCACCTCAGCCTCCGGAGTAACTGGGACCACAGGCACATGTCAACATGCCTGGCCAATTATTTATTTATTTGTTTGTTTGTTTGTTTATTTATAGAGAGGATATTTTGCCATGTTGCACAGGCTGGTCTCAAACTCCTGAGCTCAAGTGATCCTTCCACCTCAGACTCCCAAAGGTTGGGATTACAGGCATGAGCCACTGTGTCTAGCCTATAGTAGTCATCTCTGAAATAAAAAGAATATTTGGTCATTGATTACTCAAGCTAGTTGGCAATAAAGATTGACATTGCAACTATGTAACTTGTCTTAATCTTCAACCTTTACCAGAGAACACTGGTAATCCCTGCTAGCGATTCTGGGATTATAGACTTCTTTGTTAAAAGGAAAAAGTGTAAGTAAAGCACATTTTATTGGAAATTTCCAGAGAAAGAGGGTAAAGTAAGAACGTTTTTTTCATAACATTGTTTCTTTAATGCTCTTTGTCAGCTTTACTAACATATACATACAATAAAATCCACCAGTTTTAAGTGTATATCTTGACTAGTTTTGAAAAATGTATAGTTTTATATTAACACAGTCATTATATAGAACATTCCTGTTACCCCAAAATAATGATTTATCATGCCACTTTGCTGCAGTCAGTCCCCTCTTACCTAACCGGTGTGGCTTCTGGTAGCCACTGATCTGCTTTCTATTGCTATAGTTTTGCCTTTTCTAGAATTTCCTAAAAAATGATATCGTACAGTCCTTTGTGTTTGACTTCTTTCATTTAGTGTAATGCTTTTTAATTGTTGATTCAACTGTTGCTGTATGTGTCGGTAGTCTGTTCCTTTTTACTACTGCACTCCAGCCTAGGCAACAAAAGGAGATCGCCTCAACCCACCCTCTCCCCCCACCAAAAAGATAGGTGTAAACTTTGGCGCTTCTAAAGGGAAAGTTTGAAGTTACGGATTCAGGTTCTCTCTTAAGGCTAACACCACTTCAAAGGTCACTGTATCATTTTCTTATTTATAGCCAAACTTTGGAAAAGCAGTGTACGTTAGGCTGCAGTAAGGGAAGTTTTTTGGATCACTTATAGTATGGGCTGAAAGAAAGGGAAATTTTTGTAATACCTGGCTGTACATGGAAGATAGAGAAAAGAGGAAGAAGTCTGGGGGACATGTATGTGTTCAAATAAAAAGATTTCTAAGTTTGAATTAATTGAACTGTAAGCAAAACTAGTAAGGCAGGTGTATTCTCCCAGTGGAGAAGAAATGAAGTGGGGAAAAGGATAATTCCTGTTATTGACCACCAGGTGGTGCCCTAGGCCAGGATTGGTAGGTGGAAGTGCTAATACGGATTACTGACAGGGCATTGATTAATTCAGGGTGGTAATTTTAAAAGTGACTAGTACAGGAAGTCATTAGTATATGGGCCAGCCTGAGCACAGTGACTATCATATAGTGATAGTGCTTTTAAAAATATTGAACTGAATTGATAAGTGTGAAAGTGGGAGGTAGAACAGGTAGAATTTGATGACAGGAATAAATAATAAATAATAACTGTTAGAATAAAAAATTTTAAACTCAAAGATTTGCTTGGGAGAATCAGTTAGAAAATATAGTCCAATTCCACTAAACAGTCGAAAAATTGTTTTGTTTAAGGGAAAACCATTAGTTTTAGTTGGGTGGCTGACACCTACTGTGCAGAGAATGTCTTACAGGCATTTAACAATATCGGACTGGAAAAGTAAGCATAAGTTAGAGATGAAGATGTATTTTGGCTTTCTAATTGTTCTCCATTAAAACTTAATTGTCAAAACAAGTAACTTACAGGTTTATTGACCCGGCCTCTGAAGGCCAGAATGTTAGGCTACATCCTTTCCCTCGATACTGAGTTTCCTTTAATATAAATATGTATTCATTGGCCCCAAAGATATTTTGGTTATCCTTAATGATCTCATGTGAGCATCAGGTATAGTTCTTGGAAGAGTAAAAATGAAGATACAGATAAGCTAACTGTTCCTGATCTTAGTAAATTTGTTATGCAAAGTGTAATAACATAGGGATGCTTCTTAAATTTTTTTTTGTTTTTTGTTTTTTGATTTTTTGAAATGGAGTCTTGCTCTATTGCCTAGACTGGAATGCAGTGGTGTGATACTGGCTCACTGCAACCTCCCGGGTTCAAGCGATTCTCTTGCCTTAGCCTCCTGAGTAGCTGCAATTACAAGTGCATACCACCATACCTGGCTAATTTTTTTTATTTAGAGATGGGGTTTCACTATGTTGGCCACGCTGGTCTTGAACTCCTGACCTCAAGTGATCCACCTGCCTCAGCCTCCCAAAGTGCTGGGATTACAGGCATGAGCCACCATGCCTGGTCAAAGTTTGTTTTTTTTTTAAGTCTGAGTTTCTTTCTTTCTGTTCGGAAGCAGCAGCTTTTATGATGAAGGCTCAACATAATGGAAAGCAAAGTTTACTCTTTAACCTCTTTTCCCTTTATACAACAAAATAGTCACAGGCTTTAGGGTAGTCAGACTCCTACAGGTGTATAGTGCGTGAACTAATTTCTGCTTTCCCCTTTTATTCATCAGAGATTTGGGTACATTATCAATAGCTCTGAATCTTAGGAGTAGAGGAGAATAATTTTGGTTGCCAAAGTCCACTACTCTTTGGTTTATCCAGAACGCTCATATAAGGTCTTGCTTCCAAAGAATCATAGATAGATAGATAGAGGGATAGGCTAAGATTATATTTTGTGTAAGGTAATGACTAGAACAGACTGTTTTTTCTTTAGGGATCTCAGTACAGCATTTTTTCTCAAGAAAGGCAACTTTGGCAATTTAGCACAGCGTTGAGCTAAGTAGTTATTTGCTAAATATCTACTTATTTTGATGTTATATCATCATGGCCTGTGATCCTGTTGGTCAGTGTGAGCAGGCTAGATTTCATTTTTGAACTTTTGTACTTCAGGGTCACAATTAATATATGTTATGTGTTAATTTGTGTCTCTTACATTGTATATACATAGACTTTGAGAATATGTTCCCAAATAAAAATTTATATAAAATGCTGTTTTTGTTTTGTTTTGTTTTTTGAGATGGAGTTTCACTCTTGTTGCCCAGGGTGGAGTGCAGTGGTACGATCTCAGCTCACTGCAACCTCCACTTCCTGGTTTCAAGCTGTTCTCCTGCCTCACCCTCCCAAGTAGCTGAGATTACAGGTGTGTATCACCATGCCTGGCTAATTTTTGTATTTTGAATAGAGACAGGGTTTCACCATGTTTGTCAGGCTGGTCTTGAACTTCTGACCTCAAATGATCCACCTGCCTCAGCCTCTCAAAATGCTGGGATTACAGGCATGAGCCACCGTGCCAGCCTAAATTGTTTTATTTTAAAAATTAAAGTTATGGCAAATCTTTTTATTTTATTATTATAACAACTTGCTGGGATAAGGAATTCTGACTCAGATTTCTAAAATTGTAATAATGAGGAAGCCAAGAATTCAAAAATCTTGAGTTACAAAATGAATCCCTTGCATCACAAATGATTTCTAGTCAGTGGATCATGACTGATTTCATCCCTACCTCTGTTTGGTTTCTTAGGTTATTATATATTTTTTGAGTTGGGATTCGGGTCTCGCTCTGTTGCCCAGGCTAGAGTGCAATGGTGCAGTCGTGGCTTATTGCATCCTCGAACTTCTGGGCTCAAGGGAGGCCAGAAGACTGAGGCTTCACCTCAGTCTCTTGACTCAGGATTATAGGCAGGCAGCACCATGCCTGGCTCTTACTTTATTACTTCTAAACAACTTCTGCCATCATTTTCAGATGGGTAACAACGGAAATCAAATACTGAAATGATTCCGTAAAGTTATTTTAATCCCATTCATCACTAAAATATGAGCAATGACATCCTGGATTCTCAGATGTCTAAACAAAATAAGGTAGTTATTATTTACAGTGCCTAAAAAATAAGGCCTCATAAGTATATATAAATATATGTATTTATATTTGAGACAGGGTCTTGCTCTGTCACCCAGGCTGGAATGTAGTGGTGTGATCACAGCTAACTGCAGCCTTGACCTCCTGGGCTCAGGTGACCTCCCACCTCAGCCTCTCCAAGTAGCTGGGACCACAGGTGGGTGCCACTGCACCTGGCTAACTTTTGTATTGTTTTGTAGAGGAGTTTTGCAGTGTTGCCCAGGCTGGTCTTAAATTCTAGGTTCAAATGATCCGCCACCTCAGCCTCCCAAAGTGCTGGGATTACAGGTGTGAGCCACTGTGTGTGGCCAAGGACTTTTATATTTAGCGAGATGGCTGGTTAAATAATCTTCATGGAGTTATTTCTGCATTGTGAGGTTGAGGGTGGGATGGAAACTAGAGCCCATAAGTAAAGTTTCTTATTAATTACATACAGTGTTGCAGAGTTATAGTAAGAGTGATGATGATGAGAACCATCTCTGTTATCTGATTGCTTCAAGACACCAAGAAACCTGCCCTGGAAATGCTGAATTTTAATGAACTCATAAAATTAATTGGGACTCTATCTTTTCCGTGTAGTTGATAGTATTCTCTGCAAGAATTTTGTTGAAGTGAATTTGTTTTGATATCATTTGTCAGATCATTCTTAACAAATATTTGAGTGTCTAATGTATGTAAGACCCTTTCCATGTATATTTTGCAGTTTAATTTGCATGTGAGTGTTTTGGGACAGGTAGGTATCTTAGTTTAAAAAAATGAAGTAATTAAGACTTCAGGAAAAATTTAAAACCTGCTAACACCAGAGAGCTAGTACATGGCTTAGTCTAAGCTCTTTGCACATCTACACATCTATATCTATATCTATGCATCTACAGCACAGATGCCTCAATAGAGATAGCCTTTATCATATACTTAGTTGGGGAGTGTAATATAAAGGCAGAAAATACAGATCTTATGATGACATAGACTGTCCCACAGTTGGTAATCTGCCAAGTAATTTTTATAAAACACAGGAAAAAAAAAACAGTTGGTCTCAGTTAAAATTGAAGCAAGATTTGAGGCTTCATAATTAACTCTTAAAGTAGAAACTTAGATGAAAGAAAAAAGTAAGTTTTCCACTTCTTTCCGTATGTACTATCAAAAGGCCACAATGAAATTGCTGGAAGTCACCACCTCTTACTAACCTCAAACAGAGCTTAAAAGTAGGAAGTGAGAGGTAATTGGCTAGTTTATCTTTGCTTCCAGGCAGTCTTACTGGCCTGTAATCTGGTGGCTAATAGCATTGATTGTTTTTAATTCTGTTGTTTGTTTTTTTTCCTGCCAAGTTGCTATAGCTGTCTGGGGAGGGTAAGATAAGAGTACTGGAGCATTGTCCTAAGAAAGTTCCACTTCTCCTTTTGAACCTTTCTTTAACACAAATCTCAGATTGGGAGAGATTTCTACAGTTATTTCATTTATATCTCTCTAACATTCTCCCTAAATGGTTGTCCGGCCTCTCAGAATCTCCCAAAGCAGCCTATTCTGCTTGTGCCTCTGTTAGACAAATCTAATATGTTAAGCTGAATTTGGTACCTATATGTCTCCAGTTAAGGCCAATCAGAATATATAATGCCTCTGCAGGCATGAATTGCCTTTACAGTGTGTCTCTCCTGAATAATTCCTTCTCCAGACTAATAATCCTTAGTCCTTAGGATATTCGTGTTTTTTTTTTTTTTTTTAATTTAACATTTATTCATACAGGCATTCTAAGTGCTTGGGATGCAGTAGTGAATCTTCACTACAAACAACTGTACTGTGAAGTATTACTATCTCTATTTTTATAAGTGAAGAAACAGAAGATGAAGTTGGAATGACTTAACATATTCACACAATTGGTAAGAAGTTTGTACTGGATGTCAGAACCAAGTCTTTCTAGCTCCAGAAGTCAAGCTTTTGATCACTGCTCTCTGTTACTGTAGGTCTTGCCAAGAATAATCTAGTAGCCATCTTCAAGACCTGAAGTAGATAGTTCAAGGAGAAGCCTCATGTAAGGAGTAGCATAAATACCTTGCAAGTAAGAGATTCTGAGGTCCCTTGGGATATTAAATGAATCTGTAGCCTTCCTGGGTTCCACTGGGAAACTTCAGCTCAAGCAGATTCTTAGCTGGGTGTAGTGGCACATGCCTTTAAATTTGTGGTTTCAAAATTCACTAAGGAGCCCAGTGTCCATAAAAAAATATGGAGTGCTTTGTGAGTTTTTGTGTCATCCTCTTCAGAAGCCATGATAATCTTCTTCGTATCCAATTTTAGGTATATGGGCTGCTGAAGCAAGCCCTGGGGTATTCATTTACATCATCATTTTGAGTACTTAGTCATACTGGTCCATCAGCTCTAACTCTTCCTGTTCTTCAGTATTCCTCTTAAATTCTAGTCTCCAAAACAGAACACTATGCCCAGATCTGATTACAGTAGTGAATAGAGCTTTCCTAATTCTAAAGTATTATATGCTTATGTTCAACACAACTCCATTTTGAAATTGTTTTTCCTTTTTGTGATCTGACTTACCTTTCATCTTTAATTTTTATTTGGTGAAAGTTATAGTTTAATTCAGAGTAATTGAAAATTTTACAGGCAGTAAAATAATACAGATGCTTAGTAATTTTGAGACTGTTAGAAAAAAGACTTTCTAGAGAACTTATCTCTGATTTCTAAAATATTTACTTTAAAGAATAAGAACGCTTCATGCCTGTAATCCCAGCACTTTGGGAGGCCAAGGCAGAAGGATCACCTGAGGTCAGGGGTTTGAGACCAGCCTGTCCGACATGGTGAAACCTCATCTTTACTAAAAATACAAAAATTAGCTGGGCATGGTGGTGTGTGCTTGTAATCCCAGCTACTCAGGAGGCTGAGGCAGAAGAATCACTTGAACCTGGGAGGTGGAGGTTACAGTGAGCCGAGATTGGGCCACTGCACTCCAGCCTGGGCAAAAAGAGTGAAACTCTTGTCTAAAAAAAAGGGATGAGAACCTTTCAATCTCTACATTTTATTTTATTTCATTTTAGGCTAGTCAAGTGAACTGTTTGGCTTGGAAAAGGAACAAAGAAGTCTGTAACTGATTGTGATTAATTAGTATAAACACTATTGCACTTGGACCAGGCTCAACTCCTACCTTATTTTAAATTGGTGTTAGAGATGAACCAAATGTCACCTACGTCATTACCCAACCCTGACACCATGCACCTAATTTTTCTTACTTTGTATTTGTAGTATTATGTATTTAATGTATAGACATACTCTTCAGAATAATTAAGAGTTGTGGCATGTTTAAGAATGCATTTATTATACTTAGCCCTTCAGTTATCTTTATATTTTAATCACTGCTCAATTTGTTTTGTAAAATGTTTTCTTTTTAAAACTTTTCTTTAAAAGTTTCTTTAAAACTGATAGCTGGTGATCACAGAAATCCAAAGAAGTTCTATATTTTCTTCATTTTCTTCTTAAAAAATAATGCCCAGCCAGATGCGGGGGCTCATGCCTGTGATCCCAGCACTTTGGGATGCTGAGGTGGGTGGATCACTTGAGGCTGGGAGTTTCAGACCAGCCTGGCCAACATGGTGAAACCCCATCTCCACTAAAAATTAAAAAAAGACCGGGTTCAGTGGCTTACACCTGTAATCCCAGCACTTTGGGAGGCCAAGGTGGATGGATCACCTGCAGACAGGAATTTGAGACCAGCATGACCAATATGGTGAAACCGTGTCTCTACTAAAAATATAAAAACTAACCGGGTGTGACACACGCCTGTGGTCCTAGCTACTCTGGAGGCTGAGGCAGGAAAATTGCTTGAACTTGGGAGGCAGAGGTTACAGTGAGCCGAGATCGCACCACTGCACTCCAGCCTGGATGACAGAGTGAGACTTTTTGTCTTTAAAAAAAAAAACAAACAACTCAGCTTAATAGAAATTTCAGCCACTAAGAAAATCAAAATATGAAGATGTGAGATAGTCTTCAGGGGCGTAAGAAGAAGAAATTCTTGTTAGCAATTTATTTCCCTTTGGATAGTAAGATAGTAAATATTCTTTTCTGTCAAATTTTTTGAGTTGGTAATTACATGATCTTAAAGTTCACAGATTTTATTAATTGATTGAGACAGGATCTTGCTTTGTTGCCCAGGCTGGAGTACAGTAATGTGATCATGGCTCATTGAAACCTTGACTTCCTGGGCTCAAGCGATCCTCCCACCTCAGCCTCCCAAGTAGCTGGGACTACAGGCACATGTCACTGCACATGGCTTATTTTTAAATTTATTGTAGAGACGTGTCTCACTGGGTTGACCATGCTGGTCTGGAGCTCCTAGGTTCAAACAGTCCTCCTTCCTGGGCTTCCCAAAGTGCTAAGATTACACTTGTGAATCACCATGCCCAGAGCTAGATTTTACAAATAGTATTCTAAAGAGATGGCAGTTTCTCTGAAGTTGTTAGGAAAATTGATTGTATGATTCAGTTTGACATTTGAATATTGGTTGTGTGTCTTGAAGATAAATTTTTTGTTATAGAGTCCCAGGTGTGATTTTTGAACTAGAATCTTAATCAGATATTTACAGTTTAATTTGAACTTAAACCATCTTTTTTGCAGATATCAGTGCCAGGGATGAATTAATTCCTTGGCTTACTTGGGAAAGGTGTTATGAGGAAACTTCAGTTAACCATGATGTCTAGAAGCTCTCTGCTGATAACTTTTGGAATTGCTGAGTGTTCTTTGAGGAAATTACTGATTATTTTAATGATTCTTATTGACTGTAGTGGTTTTTTTTTTTTTTAGACAGAGGCTGGAATGCAGTGTTGCAGTCTCAGCTCACTGCAACCTCTGCCATGTGGGCTTAAGCAGTTCTTCACTTGTGCCTCAGCCTCCCAAGTAGCTAGGATTACAGGTGTGTGCCACTGCAACCAGCCAATTTTTTTGTATTTTCAGTAGAGATGGAATTTCACCATGTTGGCCAGGCCTGTCTAGAACTCCTGGGCTCAAGTATTATCTCCCTCTTTAGCCTCCCAAAATGCTGGGATTACAGGCATGAACCACTATGCCTGGCCTGGGTCTGTAGTATATTTTAAAAGCTGTTTTCTTGGTTAACTCTAATATAACCCCAAGTTCTTAACAAATGTTGGCCTAGATTGTGAACTTTGTAGAGACTCTTTCTTTCTTTTCTATTTTTTTTTTTTTTTTTTTTTGAGACAGGGTCTCACTCCCATTGTCCAGGCTGAAGTGCAGTGGTGCAATCACGGCTCACCACAACCTTGACTTTCCACACTAAGGTGATTCTCCCACCTCATTCTTCTCCTGAGTAGCAGGAACTACAGGCACATGCCACCATGCCTGGCCAATTTTTTGTGTCTTTAGTAGAGATGGGGTTTCCCCATGTTTCCCAGGCTGGTCTCGCACTCCTGGGCTCAAGTGATCTGCAAGTTTAAGCCTCCTAAAATGCTAGGATTAGAGACATGGGCCACTACACTCGGCCAACTCTTATGGGTGAAAAACAAGAATTTTTACTTCGGTCAATAAGGTTGCTTTGTTTTAAATAACAGTTGACACTGCCCCAGAAACCTGAATCAAATGTGCTTGCCTTTTTTTAAATTTAATTTTTAAAATTGATATGTGATTTACATATTTTGGGGGTACATGTGATAATTTAATACATTTATTTAACTTATAAAGGCCAAATCAGTGTAATTGGGATATCTGTCACCTTAAATATTTGTCTTGTCTTTCTCCTTTTTCTTTTTAGACAGGCTCTGTTCTGTCACCCAGTTTGGAGTGCAATGGTGAAGTCATAGCTCACTACAGCTTCAAATTTCTATGCTCAAGAAATCCTCCTGTCTTACCCTCCCTAGTAGCTGGGACTACAGGTGTGTACCACCACACCTGGCTTATTTTTTTTATTTGTATTTTTTGTGGAAATTGGGTCTTGCTATGTTGACCAGGCTGATCTTGAACTCCGAGGCTCAAGCAATCTTTCCACCTCAGCCTCCCAAAGTGTTGGAATTAGAAGCATGAGCCGTTATGCCTGGCCTTGTCTTGGCTTTGTGTTAGGAACAGTTGAATTATTATCTTTTATAATCACCCTACTTACCTATCAAACACTAGGTCTTATTTCTTCTATCAGACCGTTTCTTTCTACCCATTAATCAACCTCTCTCCTTCTCTCCCTCTCTGTTACCTTTCCCAGCCTCTGGTAAACACCAGTGTACTCTTTATTTTCATGAGATCCACTATTTTTTAGCTCCCACATATGAGTGAGAACATGTGATATTTATCTTTGTGCTTGGCTTATTTCTCTTAACAAAATGATCTCCATTTCCATCCGTGTTGCTGCAAATGAAAGGATTTCATTCTTCTTTATGGCTTTATAATATTTCATTGTGTTTGTATACCAACCACATTTTCTTTATTGGTCCACTGATGGGCAGTTAGGTTGATTCCATGTTTTGGCTATTGTGAATAGTGCTTGCAAATAAACATGGCAATGCAGATGTCTGTCTGATACATTGATTTTTTTTCTATATATGCAGTAGTAGAATTCCTGGATCATATGGTAGTTCTATTTTTAGTTTTTAAAGTTTTCCATAGTGGCTGTACTAATTTACATTTCTTCCAACAGCATACTTCCATGTCCTCCCCAGTATCTGTTATTCCCGGTCTTTTTGATAAAAGCCATTTTAACTGGTGTGATGTGATCTCATTGTGGTTTCGATTTGCATTGCTCTGGTGATTAGTGATGTTGAGCATTTTTTCATATACCTGTTGGCCATTTGTGTGCCATTGACTCTTCAGCTGTTTTGCCCAAGTTGGATTTGTTTTGCTATTGAGTTGTTTAAGTTCCTTATGTATTCTGGTTATTAATTTCTTGTCAGATGGATAGTTTGTAAATATTTGCTCCCTTTCTGTGTGTTGTCTTTTTCACTTTGTTGATTGTTTTCTTTGCTGTACAGAAGCTGATTGTTTTCTTTGCTGTACAGAAGCTTTTTATGGTTTGTTCTTGTTTGTCTGTTTTTGCTTTGGTTACCTGTGCTTTTTAGGTCTTACACAGAAAATCTTTGCCCAGACCAATGTCCTGTAGCATTTCCCCAAGGATTTCTTCTAGTATTATAGTTTTGGGTCTTAGATTTAAGTCTTTAATTCATGTTGATTTGATTTTTGTATATGTTGAGGGATAGGGGTGCAGTTCCATTCTTCTGCAGGTGGTTGTCCATTTTTCCCAGCACCATTTATTAAAGACTGTTCTTTCCCCATTGTATATTCTTGATGCCTTTGTTAAAAAGGATTGGCTACAAATGTGTT